CAAACCTTGGAGCCAGCTGTTGGGGTAGCCCCACTGCCAGGGTTAATATCCGGAGTTTTAAGTGTGAATGGCCCTGAAACTGATTAGGAATACATTAATGTGATTTATATTTCCACTAAAAGCATCAACAAAGGAGCCTCTGCTATTATACACACAATGGCACTTGCTGGATATTTAAATAACAAAAATACATGAACATGTCTCTACCACCTGGTTGTCTTTATTTGATTTATGTAGAAGATGTCCTAACAGGAAGAGGTACAAAGCTATTACTTGAGCATGTCCTGTAATGTCAAGTGCTACAGGCTTCCTGCCACTTAAACTGCTATTTCATGGTATTCCATGCAATCATACTGTACATCACAAAGTAAACCACACACACAAGAATGTGGTCAAGTACTACACAGCTTTTCATGTTCCAAGAACACTCACTCGGGGCTTGTTCAAACTGAAGAAAAGAAAATAAGCATAAAAGTGGAGCTGTTACCGATAGCAAAGCTTTCGTTTTATGGAAAAATGAAATCAGAATTCTGTTCTCTCTATATGAGACAACTCAGTTTTAATTCTCCAGTTTTAATGGATCACCACCTTAGCATTAACATTACTTATTGAACGGGCATGGTGGTAATGTACAACACTAATTTTATTTCTCAAATAAAAAAATAGACAATTTAAAATGCAATAACCGCAGTATTCTAATATGATATCGATGCCATTATATAATGTAAGTTGTGGTCTTGCTAGACAGCAAACAAGAGCAGCATAAGGTACCAATAAGCATTAGAGCCCTTACAACATCACTTGGCAGAGCCCTTTCTGTCCAATTATTATAATCCCTGTTTGTTCTTTTTTGTAGGCTTTTTATCGATTATTTTCACATGGTGATCCAGCCAGTAAGTCTGTTATTTTTTAATATATGCCCAGCAAAAGTGACAGATAGAGGGTTGAGACAAATCATTTAACAACGTATTTGGTTTAAAATGACCCTGACAGCAATCTGAAGGTCCAAATAAAAACTGCCCCTGCTAAGAACGTTACTGCCACAGACTTTCACGTCACTACAGCATCTGTAGTGACACAGGGGTCAATGGGAGGAACCACTGACGGCTGCGGGAAACAAAAGAGATCAACAATCTTAGAAGTGTCAGTTGCTGCACAGATTTCAGCCGGCAATTCCTCTTGGTTGGGGTGTCGCTTGGCAGAGCAAGAAACAGGAAAGGTAGGTATTCATTTTCTCTTTTCCATGGGCAATTTTTATCAGGACTTTCAAATTGCCAACAGGGTCACTTTACAGTGACACTAAACTTAGGCCTTAAATCGTAAAAATGCATTCAAGAGCCATAACTATTAACACAAATGCAACTTATTTGTGTAGATCTTCATATCATCTCTGAATTGGTGCTGACACTGTCCTTCCCTCTGGAGGGTGGCTACTTTTGTTCCCCATGGTCCCTGTGTGTGTTGTAATATAGCCACTAGTCCAAGCTCGCTCCCCTAATAAGACTATAACTTCGATACAAATTAGTAAGCTAAACGTGAGATTGTAGTCCATCATAGGAGCGAGCTTGGAGCGGTGGTTACTTTACAACACACACAGTGACCATGGGGAACAATAGTAGCCACCCTCCAGAAGGAAGGACAGTGTCAGCACCAATTCAGAGATGATTTGAGGATCTACAGCCGAGTGATACACAAGTAAGATACATTTTGTTAATAGTTGAGGTACTTGAATGCATTTTTTAAGATTTAACTCCTGAGTTTAGTGTCACTTTAAGTGTTATATTTTGAATACACTTTAAAGAACACTTGTCATCACATGCAACAAACTCCATTTTACGCTGCTCTACTCCCGTTTCACAGAATGTATTCCTCAGCTCACAAATCCCTTCCTGCACTGTATATAGGCACAAAGTACACTTGTTCTTACCATGTTAATTTCAAGTGAATCTACAAACAGCAATTGTTACAGGATAGACATGAAACCTGTAAGTTAATGTACAGCTGATCACACAAAGATGCACAAACAGGACGTTTTGTACACAGAACAAAAGCAGACTGCCTCCATACTTTATGCCGTTCGTAAATGCATTGTATTAAATGCAGACAAACTCGTTGTTAGAAAACAGATATTTATCATTGTTAACTAAGGATTTTCACACAGCAAGTTTAAGTCCCCTCACCTACTGCAGTTTTCTGTCTTTGTATTTTTGTGTGAACACAAGTAGTAAATACAACTTGAGCAAACATTGTTATCTTTCTCATGCAAGAGTACTGCTTTTTCCATTAAAGATGATTGGAACGCTGAACCTGCAGCTGATCTTTTTTTTTCATTGACTTAACCATGCCTTGTTCTGCACTGTGTGGAGGCAGCAAACTTGGTAGAGGGAGGGCTTTGCTTCCTGATGTATGTTGGCCTCCAGCAACTAGAACAGTTAGCTGCACAGTGATATCACCCACTCTTACTCCAAATCTCCTGAGACTAGCAGTCACATGCACTGTGCCTTAGATCTCACACTGCAGATATACAGCTTTAGGGCCGTAGACACAGGAGTGCCTAGACACTCTCGCATACCAGGAAGTACTGTGCTATTTTTCAGAATGGATTCAAGACAAAATGTAAATCTTTCAGGGTACTACTTAGGCACAATTACCTTTCCTAGATGTTCCCTATAACATAGCTCATCTTTACTTTTTAAATTCAGGTCAACTTTACTTTGTACAATACTGAACTTTTTAGGCAAACTTCCAAACTATACTAGCACATCTGCTTTGCAGCACTGGGATTTAAATCCTGGTCAGGGCACTATCTGCAAGGAGTTTGCATGTACTCCTTGTGCTTATGTGGGTTTCCTCCGGGTACTCCGGTTTCCTTTCACACTTCAAAGACATGCTGGTAGGTTCATTGGCTCCTGTCTAAATCGGGCCTGTATGTATGAATTGAGATAGGGACCTTAGATGGAAAGCTCCTTGAGGGCAGGGACTGATGGAAATGTGCACTACGTAAAAGCGCTGCATAAATTGTTGGCACTATATAAATACCTGTACTAAATATACTAAACTAGCTGCTTAACTTAGAAAAGTGAGAAGAATTCATCATGAGTGCAACATGGCAATAGGAGTGCAGCGAGCTGCTATGTGGTTTAAAACAGTCCTCAAGATCTGAGAAGCCACTTTTTAAAATCTCTTCACAGACATGCACAAAATAATTTGTTTGACTGAGTACATTTTCCTACATTAAACATAAGCTGTTACTGCCATTTGGCAAAAAAACCCTGAGACTGTAAAACAAAAATCGTTTTTGTAGAGCAAATAAGCAGGTCAGTTATGCACATTGCAAGGATTTAGTCCTCATTCACATGAGTCAAGCATCTCGCTTTTTGGAGCATTTGTACAGGCATTTTTAAGTGCCTTTCAGGTTTATTTTTAAGAGCTAGTTACTAGGCAAAACAAGCTTTTGCCTAGTAACTCGCATTGAAGTCTACTGGAATGAAAATACTCAACTCTGCCTCCAAAAGAAGCTCATGTACTTTTTTGAGCTACAAGCATTTTGCTACAAGAGGAAGAACACTCAGGTGTGAACAGGGGCTACAAAAAACGACGAGATTCCTCCTGGTGAGCGCTGTAGCACTTAGGCATTCAAGCTACAAATTGCTCAGATGTGAGTGGTGCATTAATGCTTAAAGTGTATTTATGCTTTTGCAGTCAAATTTGAGAAAACCACTCTATGTGTGTGTTATGTGTTCATATTCACCCAGCATAACAAAAAAAATATTGAAAAAAAATATTTTAGTGGAATCAACCATCCAGGAAGCTCGATGGTGTTCTATCAAGTATTTCCCTCCAATGATAGTAGTAACCGGTTGCCATTAGTATGCTTGGTTCATAATCCCTTGTAAGAGCACAAAAGCTACATTTTGCAAAAATTGGAAAGTCTAATCTTAAATCACTGAGCTGCTTCAATTAACTTTGCTTGAAAAAAATACCATTCTTTTTCCTTTATTTATACTAAGCATTTTTATAGGGTAGGTAAGTATATTTATGTTAGTTTAGATCATTTCATTTAGGGGTCTATTTATAAATGTTTATACACAAGGTTAACACAACTTTACCCAGAATTCACACATTTTCCGAAAAGAATCTAATAAGAAATATGAGCAAATCTTGAGTGGAAGTTGTCTGAATATTTAGTGAAAATATTTGCTAACACACCCCTATGTGTTATTTGTACTTTTGTTTTCAGTGCACTCTTTACTTTCTTTAAAAAAAAAAAAAATAATGAGGCTAATGAGGGTCCAATTTTTGGCACAAGAACAGGTTCAGGATATATAAAGTGCAACTCTACTTTTGTTGAGAAAAAAAAACAATCCCCTCTGGTTATTAATGTGCATTGCAAGGATTTCAACAAACTTTGTTGCAGACTCCTACCTTTTTCTGTTCAATGTCCTTTCCCAATTGATCCCTGATTTTGGAGTCTGGTTTGCTAGAATCACCAGATGCACTGTCAGTGTTCTAATGAGAAAGGTTGCAGTGTCTGCATCTTCTTAGAACTAGTTAACCCTTAGAGAGCATCTCACCAATAATGACATTTATATTACATGGGATGCCTACATTTTTTCTTGAATATTAGTGCAAAGTTCTGGGAAAATCAGTGAGCCAAGCACACAAGCGGGAAATTACACTTCGGTGGACTTTCCATACACCATCAGTGTACAAAACAACTCCAGATTGCCGAATTACACTTCATTTTTGGAACAGTTTTGAACAACTTCAGATTTAATTGGAGAGGTAATTTTTTAATAACATTAAATTATAAAATATCTTCTATAGCAATTTTATATGCTATATAATTATTTATTGAAAGTTGAGTTTCCTTTAACCCTTAGCAGCAATTTAAAGCCTAAAACCACCAAAAACCATGTTCATCATGACTCCAATGCAGTTTGTCAAAATGGGGACATTTCACTAAAATCTTCCAAATTATCCAATCAATAAAACTGTACCTTATATCTTCTGGCTTAGTGGCCTTTTCCTTTAATTCTGCATAAGACATTTTCTGTCCCCGTTGTCTCCGCTTTCTGCTTGGAGCTACATCTGGAGAATCGTCAGGACTGTGCACTAAAGATCGACGTCTGGATAAAGGAGGTGGCGCTACAAAAATAATAAAAGGTAAACAAATTAATTAACACAATATATCTATTATGTTAAAAAAACTAATTGTTTTCATCTTTTTATGTTTGCATATTTTATATGTGGCAATAGTATACTTTGTTTGAGTACGTGTGGTATACGACAGTTACACAGGTATGTAGTGTGTGTTTCAGAGTTGTATGAAGATGAGCTGCCAACCCCACAGTAACTGGCTTACAATCATAAAGGCCTCCTTGCTTTGTTAGTACCACCCTGTATAACCTTAATTTTTAGCCAAGTGCTTCAACAGGGGGTCCAATAAACTGGGTGCACCTTGAAGGTGATATGAACAAAGGGGGGGACATGATGTGCAGTAAACCAGTGAATACATAGAGGGGGTAATTTACTAAACTTGGGGTGTGTAAACTCCACTTTACCTATTTTCACTTCCTTCATTCCTACTTTTACCATTGGCTGAAATTATTATTTTTTCTATTGAAAGACTTTTGAGAGATGAAAGATGATTTCATTTTATTATGACAGACTCTGTAGGAACCTCCAAATGTCTGATATCCATTCAGATTTTTCACAGCTGCTATCACGGGATTGCTATCGACATAACACAAGAGAGTGATCAATTCACAGAGCTTACAACTGCTTCTATGCTCAGTCATTGTTAAATGGGATAGTAAGAGGAATAGCATGATTATTTTAAGAATGACAGTATGAGAACTGTGTTGTGGAAATTTCCCAGAAACGTGTACTCCACTAACTGTAATAAGTCTCAGGGACATACAGGTGAAACTCGAATAATTAGAATATCGTGCAAAGTTCATTTATTTCACTAATGCAACTTAAAAGGTGAAACTAATATATGAGATAGACTCATTACATGCAAAGCAAGATAGTTCAAGCCGTGATTTGTCATACTTGTGATGATTATGGCTTACAGCTCATGAAAACCCCAAATCCACAATCTCAAAAAAGTAGAATATTACATGCAATCAATAAAACAAGGATTGTACATAGAACAATATCGGACCTCTGAAAAGTACAAGCATGCATATGTACTCAGTACTTGGTTTGGGCCCCTTTTGGAGCAATTACTGCAATTACTTTTGCACGATATTCTAATTATTCGAGTTTCACCTGTAAATGCAGGCTGGGTCAATAAAGCCCAGAGGAGTTTTACTCCTCCAAATGTAATCCAAGATGGATTTTTGTAATCAAAAGGATACCCAGAGCATAACAGGGAAAAAAGAAGACCATTTTGTTGTTGTTGTTTTTAAACACATTAATAAAACAGTGAATACCCATAGCTGCTACTGTTGGTAGGTTATTTGCTTAGAAATTCTCCTTTAATCACCTGCACCTAAAAGATATACAGGGTTATTCACTAAAGGGTGAAGAGTTCGGAGAAGGCAGGAGAAGTGAACAATCTAGGCCAAAATAGCCGATTTGGAAAAAGTCTCCAAATTCAGCTCACTTTCCAGTTCAGCTATGTTGTCCTAGATTGTTCACGTCTCCTGCCTTCTCCAAACTCGTCCCCCTTTAGTGAATAGACCTGATAAACCTTTTTAATGCCCAGCACTGAAACTGTAACATGACAGGAGCAGTGCTGAAATAGAGCTGCGCTAGTCTTCCCCGGGTAAAATCTATAGCTATATCAGCCTTTTGTTTTCTTCACTCAATATTAATATGTTGGGAATTTGGTGTTAAAACAGCTAAAATAAAAAAATAAGATGTTATCATAAACTTTACCTAAATGTGAATGAGCAAAGTGGAACTGAGATTTGCTGTTATAGGTAACATTTGGAAATATCAATTGTGCCTAAGCAGTACCCTAAAAAGTGTGCTTTCCGTCTTACATTCCCCTAAAAATAGCAGTGCACTTCCTGGTATATGAGGGTGCCTCTAGCCTCCAGTCTCATAGTTGCACATAAAGACACAGTGCAGAAAAAGGCATGATAAATCAGTTACAGGGAACAGATCAGCTGCCGGTAATACCTCGGGCAATACTGATGACTAGTCCTTTGCCCTCTGTCTGCCTCTTTATGTACACGGTTTCCAGAGTTCCATGGGTTGATTTGCTCACAAAAGGCAATCATTTTTTGGAAAGGCTACAGCATTCTCACTTTACTTTAATTTCCTTTACCAAGCCATGAGATTATTATTCCTTCTTTCCTACAATTTCCCCAAGAGCACCCAAGAACCAAAGCATCAGAAATCAAGTAGCTGGTGCACAGATGACACGGTTGTCAAGGGGATATTGTTATAATTACTTAGTAGCTTTGATAAATAAACGTGCATAAAAGGATCTACACGTAGTTCTTTAGGGATACATTATTAGACATAAGACTCAGTTCACAAAACTGTTTCTCTTGTTTGACCCTTTTTTTTTTCTTCGGTACCATGCCATACATATCTCTAAAGGCACAATTCACAAAGGTGTTAAACATGCTTTATTTAGACTGCTCTTTAAGTAACACTGTCAGTGTTCTTTTAACTGACGTTATGATAAAGTCAATGTAAAAGCCATTTCACAGGGATTACTGCAAAGGGTTATCATTCCCTAAAATAACACTAGCTTCAGATGGTGATATCTGTGAGTTTCAATAGGTGTCTAATGAGGAAAGCAGGAAAAGGAGCCGTTTGAGAAGGTGATAAAATAATGATCATTGAGAAAATAAGGCTTTTAACAGTTTAATGTCAATTCTGTGTAAAAAAACAAGCACCCAACAGCTTTGTGAAATGCAGGTTTGTGAATTGAACATATTTTTTGGGGGTGTGGGGGGGAATAACTAATCCATTTTAGGGCCCATTCACTCCATTGGGCTGCATTTCTCAATGCAAGCCCAATGCTGAAATCTACTGTTTCCAATAAGCTCGGTTCACACTAAAGCACTGTGCAGATGTGTGCTGGCTGAAAATGAAACAAGCTGCATTTAAACCCACAGCAACCCAGTGCAATGCAGTACAATCAGTGACAGTACACCGAAGCGTTCATTAAAGGAGAACTATGGGGTTAGGGCTTTTCCCCATAGTTCTCCTAAGGGTAACGGGAGGACACAAACTAGCGCCCTCCCGTCACCCTAAGCTCAGTATACTGATACGCCACAGCTGAAACAGATCCCGACAATTATGTCTGGATCCACCCAGCTGCGTGAGTGACAACTGGTTCTGCCTATCTAGAGGCAGAGCCAGCTGTACCCGCCCCCTCCCCTGTCCGTTCCGCCAGTCAATGCTGGAGGATCAGAGCGGGGAGGGGGAATCCAGTCACTCCCCTGTCACGGCTCTCTGCCGTGACAGGATCGAGAAGTGAGCGAACGCCGGTATGTGTTCGCTCACTTCCCCATCTATTGAGCTGACCAGTAACAGTTCCATTGTCACAGGTCGGCTAGAACTATGAAGATGAGTGAAAAGCACTCACCTCATAGTTCTCCTTTAAGGAAATCAGAACAAAGTATTTATGCTTGTGCTGTGTCTCTTCCCTCTCACAATCTTTCCCAGGTTCATTCAAACTTGTTCTTCCACTGACAAACAAATGCAATCGAATGTCTAAGTGTATATTTAAATATACCAAGAGACACAACCAAATTGATAGACCCGAAGTACTGCCTCCTCTTTCATTCAGTAACCACGACACTTAAGCTGTTATGATAAATAAACATTTTTATGGTTTGACTAAATCAGCATGATAAAGATAGGCATATGACTCAAACTTCTTAATACGTTTCACATAATTGATATCATTCCTCCCAAACAATTTTTACTCCATATGAATACACTTTTCAGGTACTTAATATAGAACTGAAAGACATCTAGAAATCACAGAAGACCATGTCCCTACTGTGAGGCTCTGGCTGGCAGAATTATGGACGGGGTATATATACAGTATCACCTAGGTTTCACCAATACACATGGTAAAGAGCTTGAGGGTTTTGTACTTTCAAACTTGTATTGTTAACACCTGGAACCCTTCTGTCTCTAATGAGAGAGAGTAGTGTTTTCACACACTCCAGCAGGTAATAACACTGCTTGAAATGTCAGCTAATATACAATACTGTATAGTTTTAATGCATCATACCCTTACAATATATTTACAGATGTTCTGCAGTGGATTAAGAACAAGCATGCCTTCTGTGTTAGCTGTTGCTCGCTGTTATAATGAAATGGAGATAAAAGCAGAGACATGTCTGCTCTACGTAATGCTACTGCAGACAATATACAAGGACACTTTAAGATGGTTTAAGCCAAACTGTAAGTCACAGTTACATTCTGAGAATACATATGCAGGGTTTTCTGAGTGCTCAGTGGTGTCTAGGCTATGCCATACACTGTTCTGGCCCCAACAGCACTGATTGTTCATTAAAAAAGATAATTCAGCACTGAAGGGCTTGTAGGTATACAGCCCCAGCAGATAGATCATAGCCCTCAGTGCTAAGTAATCTCTTATGAATGAACTGATCTCCAGAGCGCCAAAATGGTGAAGAGTTTGGAGAAGGCAGGAGAAGTGAACAATCTAGGACAACATGGCTGACCTGGGAAGTGAGCTGATTTGGAGAATTTTTCCAAATCAGCTATTTTGGCCTAGATTGTTCACTCCGCCTGCCTTCTCCAAACGCTTCACCCTTTTGTGAATTACATTGTTAGTCTTCTGATTTAACATTTTTGATATGGTCTCTGATAACGTTTCAATGTTCGGACTTTGATAACAATTGGATGTTTGGGTAATCTGCAAAGAAGGGAGAAATTTTACTGTTTTATGTTTTAAATTAGTAAAGGAAACCTTAACTTCTATTTCATTTTCTCTTTGTGGGGATTCCCGTAATCCTAAAGTAGAGATTTCCTCTGTTATTAATTTATTAATATTTCCTTACTCTTTATTCTTCACATATTCTTTTGTTAATGCCAATCCTATTGCAAACACATCTATATCTTGAATCCATTAAAACAAAACAAAATGCATACAGGGACTAAAATAAGGTCTTTTGCAAGGACTTTTACATGATGTTTATTTA